ACCCCCCCCCCCCCCCCCCCCCCCCCCCCCCCCCCGCGCCCCCCCCCCCCCCCCCCCCCCCCCCCCCCCCCCCCCCCCCCGCCCCCCGCCCCCCCCCCCCCCCCCGCCCCCCCCCCCCCCCCCCCCCGCCCCCCCCCCCCCCCCCCCCCCCCCCCCCCCGGCTCATGCAACTCATATGCACGCCCGCATAGTCTTGCTCAAACCAAACCCAAAGTGAATCGAGCGACTGTCGGTAGCCAACAGCTTCCAGTCAGTTTCATGTCCTGCAGCATCGGCGTTCTCAGGGGCAATATGGGCGACCGCATGCAGTGTTCATGGTGCTTCAAGCCCCTGATTGTGTGTATAGACGCAACTGCATGTGGACTTCACCTTCAAGCGCTCCACTTGTTCCACAGCCATTGCAAGGACGTTGCTCCAGCTCAAAGTTCTCGACGTACGTACCTATGTATATCAATGATTGCCATCCCCGCGCGGGGTTTTCCCATCTTGACTCGCCGACTCGAGATCGTGACTCGCTTGCTTGATAGAAGGTGCTTCTTGCTTGACACTCCTTTCCGTTAAAGACATACCAGGACCTACACAATGGGTTCCTATTCTCCTACTCTGCGCTCGTCGTACGACTTCATCATATGCGGGTACGTTTGGCTACACCAAGACAAGATCGCCCATCTTGGCGCTGGGCTAACAAAGCCATATTAGTGGTGGTACTGCGGGCTGCGTCGTTGCTGGTCGACTCGCTGAAGATAAGAACGCGAGCATTCTCCTGATCGAGGCTGGCCCTCACAATAAAGATCTGGAGAACACCCACATGGTGGGAGGGTGAGTCGAGTCCACGAGTCTTATACTCAAAAGAACAGTGACTTACATTGGACGTGGCAGATGGTCCCAGAACTTCGACAAGGAGACGGACTGGAACATTGTCGCTGAGAAAGGCTCTGGCATTGATGGGCGCCAGGTGAAGCTGAGCCGAGGCAAGTTCCTCGGAGGTTCTTCTGGTTGCAATGGAACCCTTGCCATTCGAGGCTCCAAGCAGGACTACGACGACTGGGGCATGCCCGGCTGGAGCGGCGAGGAATTCTTCAACTACATGAAGAAGGTGAGCGACCCTGGCCCAGGACCATTTGCGGACAAGACCCTATGTGAACAAGGCCATTGCTGACTTTCCCAGGCCGAGTCCTTCCAAAACAAACCATGGTTCGAAGCATCCAAGGACAGCCACGGCTACAAAGGCCACCTCGGCATCGAGCCCTACGATCTCGCCCCCATCTCCGACCTCCTCATCGAGTCCATGGTGTCCAAGGGCCTGCCCCTCGACCACGACATGTTCTCCCATGGCAATAACCCCCATGGCTGCGGACATGCTCCCCGGACGCACACCGATGGTCTCCGCACGACCGGTGCCGACTTTGTCACCAAGAAGAACGCCCGAAACAACATTGAGATTCTCACGGACGCCCACGTCGACAAGGCCATCATCGAGAACGACAATGGCAGCCTGCGCGCCACCGGTGTGAGGGCGGTCCTCGCCGACGGCACGGTCGTCGAGGTCAAGGCGGACAAGGAAGTCATCATCAGCGGCGGCGCCTACTGCAGCCCCAACATCCTCAACCGATCTGGCATCGGCGCCAAGGATGAGCTCGAGAAGCACGGCATCACCACCCTCGTTGACCTGCCTGGCGTAGGAAAGAACCTCATGGACCACCTCGTAAGTCACTCAAGCTCTCACTTTCCCCAACTTGCGATCATTGCAATGGTCAGTAACACGCAACCAGATCGTCTTCATGTTCTATGAGACCGAAAAGGCCGGCCTCACGACCGATCATCTCGCGTACCACGGCGACGCCCTCGCCAAGAGCTACCAGCTCTGGAAGGACGAGAAAAAGGGCTTCCTCTCCACCTTTCCCTTTGGCGCTTTCGCCTACGCCCGTCTCGACGACCGTCTCGCCGACTCAGAGATCTGGAAATCGGCGCCCCGCGAGGAGGGCCGCGACCCCATGGGCCTGACCCCCAAGCAGCCCAACATTGAGTTCTTCACCACGGAGTGCTACGGCGGACCAAAACAGTACGCCGACTTCCCCGTGGACAACAAGCACACGTTCAGCATGATTGCCGAGCTCTTTGGCCCGCGCTCGCGCGGATCGGTGAGCCTGCCGGGCAAGGACCCCAAGACACCCCCCGTCGTGGACACGGGGTATCTGACCGACCCGCTGGGTCTGGATCTCGAGGTCCTGGCCGAGGCGTGCCGGCTCGGCAACGAGATTGTCATGGAGGGCAAGGGGACCAAGGACATTGTCAAGGGATCGTGGCCCGCTGATCTGACGCACCACACGTACTCGACGAGGGAGGACTGGAAGCCATATGTCAAGAAGCATGCGACCACTTGTAAGTCAAGCATCTCGCCGTATCTCTCTGGGTTACCCGCTCTAAAATCACACAGGCTACCACGCCTCGGGCACTTGCGCCATGGGAAAGGCGTCTGATCCGATGAGTGTCGTGGACGAGAAGCTTGCCGTGCGGGGCGTCAAGGGCCTGCGCGTCGCGGACTGCAGTATCATGCCCATCCTGCACGGTGGACACACGCAGATGCCCGCGTACGGCATCGGCGAGAAGGCAGCCGACCTGATCAAGGAGGCTTGGGCTTGAGCGCCCATTGCATTCCGGTAGGGTGGTTTGATAGCTAGCAGTCGGCCATGTCCTGAAGGACGTTGGGAGGAGAAGTTGCACGTGTGTCCTGCCGAGTGCATTCGAAGTTTACTGTAGCATTCAAAGCACGTCGATCTCGGCAATCATGAGTACTTTTGAGTCTTGAGTGTGGAGTGCGCGTTGTTGCCAGCGGGATCAAGTTGGCTGCTGATGAAAGAATTGTCCGATTTCTGAAGAGCTTCTCTTCACGATAGTCGTAGAAAGCCTGAAGTGCATAGCGTGCAGCTTTTGTCGAAGATAGTTGACGCTGAGACTGATCCTGAGCTTTTGTAGGAGCATTGTTCTCTTTAGTCCGAGTGTCAACAGAGACGTGTAGAAACATAGAGAGTTGTTGGATCGAGGTCAAGTGCGTTGCTTCAGGGTAAGGGATAAAGGGGTATATTGTCTGTAGGGTAGTCGTGAACCATGGGGTGCCCCGCCATCCATCCATCCATCCATCCATCATCGCTTCTTGAAATTTTGACACTCATATCAAACAGACCTCGACTCACACCCACACTCACTTACTGTCTACACAAGTACGGGACGGCCGCTCGCTATTAAATCACAATGGACGGTAGTATGGTGCCGGCCATTGGCGACGGCAAGTCAACCCAGTAAGAACCGCTGCACTGGACAAGTCTTCAAGGTCAAGCTATACTCACATGCTTCTAGCCCATTGAAACTCTTCGACATTGCCAGATCCCAAGATCGCTTCCTTACAGCATGTGCGCCCATGGTGCGCTACTCCAAACTCGCCTTCCGCCAGACGGTGCATCACTACGGCACCGACCTCTCCTGGACACCCATGATCCTCGCAAAGGAGTTCAACAGATCCTCCTTTGCGCGCGACGGCGACTTGACCATCAACACGGCCGGTCCGCAGCCGCCCACCATCCTGCAGTTCGGCGCCAACAGCCCGCGCGAGCTCGCAAGGGCCAGTCTCCTGGCCATCCCCTGGGTCAATGGCGTCGACCTCAACTGTGGCTGCCCCCAGAGCTGGGCGTGCGCTGAGACGCTGGGCGCCGCCTTGATGAACCAGCGGGAGCTCGTCAGGGACATGGTGCTCGAGACGCGAAGCACGCTGGCCGATGCCGGCTGGCATGTTGGCATAGACAAGGACAAGGAGAGCGCTACGGGAAGGAGTGTCAGCGTCAAGATCCGCATCCACGACGACCTCAGGTACGTGTGTACGCAGCGTTGTGGGCAATCAGGCATGGCTGATCGCGAGTAACTAGGAGAACCATGGACTGGATCGATACCGTCATCGGGGACCCCAACAACAGGAACGTGGACTGGATCACGATTCATCCGCGCACGCGAAGCACCCCTTCCACGACGCCCATCCGAGAGGACGCCCTCGCTATCCTGGCGGAGAAATACAGCCCCATCTTACCAGTTCTCCTTTCGGGCGACGTCTTCGATGCCAGCGCGCTGCCATTCCAGGCATCCACGCCCGCCACCCAGGAGACGTTGACACTGAACGACATCCTGCCCCGAGACAAGACTGATGGCCCAAAGCCCAGCAACACCAACATTGCAGGCTTCATGTCGGCCCGCGGTCTCCTGTCCAACCCAGCTCTCTTCGGCGGACACTCGACATGCCCCTGGGAGGCGGTCGAGTACTTCATGAACAGAGTCGCCAGGGCGCCGATCCCTTTCAAGCTTACGCTTCACCACGTCCACGAAATGGTCTCGCCCGGCATGGGCAAGGACAAGACGGCTCTCCTCGATCGCAAGGAGCGCGCGCAGCTCAATCGTCTCACAAACATGTTTGACCTCATCGACTTTCTCGACGTCAAGATAGCGGAGAAGACCGGCCAAAATGGCATGCGCCGCGACCTGTGAAACATACATGCATTCATTTCGTTCATGTCCGTCCGTCCGTCCGTCGGTACGTACGTCACGGCACTATTCATTCTACAAACCCGCCAGGACACCCTGGATCCCAACCGTACCCGAATCATCTCGCCGTTGCACAAAAGCCCGAAACTCGGCCTTGGTCAGCTTCCCCCGGGCCGCGACGCCCGTGCCAGCCGCGCCCGCCAGCGTCCTCGCCTTCTCCCGCAACGCCTCCGGCCCGACGATGAACAGCGAGCCAATCTCCGTGAGCAGCTCCACGGCTGCGGCCACGTCCTTGAGCAGCGGCCAGTCGCGCATCGTGGCGGCGTACTTGGCAATGTCCTGGGTGACCATGAGACCACCCGTGGCGTTGACCTGGAACTTCTTAAAGTGGTCGAGCAGGAGCTTCAGCACGGCGAGTGCGATCTCGGAAAAGAACTTTTCGGCGTTTGGCCCGTCAATGGCCGCCGACGCCTGACGGTGCGCGCGGGACAGGAACGTGCATATCCCCTGGCACGTCTGGGTTTGTAGCGACTCCAGATCGCCGTCGCGCGGTCGGAAATCCTGCTTCTTTTGTGTGCCGAGGGACTTGGCGACCCAGTTGGCAATAACGTCGACCGACACGCGGATGACCATGTTGGTCTTCTTCTCAATGGCGTCGACGGCCATCTTCTTCTGCGCCTCCATGTTCCGCCGCACCGTGGCGCTGGGCTCGGCGAGACGGATCAGCACCGTCGTGATGAATCGGTCCATGATGGCAGTGATCGTGATGGCGGGTCGCAGCGCGGGGAGATGGGACAGGTCGGGCTCCGTCTTGGAATTCTCCACCATCGTGGCGGCGTAGTGCGCCGCGTCGAGCGCCGTCTGAATGTACACCTCTCCCATGCTGGCCAGGAGGAGCTGGAGCAGGATGTTGACGTCTTTGGGTGTTTCTATCGGCGTACCTAGCTCGAGCGTGCGCTGCACACTCTCCGCAAGCCACTTGAGCATGCGCTTTGCATTCGCAATGCTCAGTGTTCCGTCCTCTTCAGATACCTCAATCTCGTTCTTGTTCTCCTTGTCCTTGATGCCAGCGACTCGCAACATGATGGCCTTTTGCGTAGGCGTCAGTTCCGACGAATCTAGTTTCTCAATGTACGCGTCCTTGGCAGAGGACATGAGCTGCGACCCCTGCTGTGCCAACGACGCCATGAAGCCTGCCGGCCCCCTCTTCTTGCGGGAGTGATAGATTGTGAACTTGAACAGGAGGGAGCTGTACATTTCTTCCAGACTCTTCTTTTCCCGCTCAATGTAGGAGTTGCCCACGAGGTAGGGCACAAACAGCTCCTCCATCTGCTGGTCGAGTGTCTGGGAGATCTGCGCCGAGCACGGCTCCGGATGCTCGGTGAGACCGTGGGTCTTGAGGTCTTCCACCAATGAACTGATATAGGCGCGAGACGCGTGTAGGGACCGAAGGAAGGCTAATGAGGATATCGTGTCGGCCTTGTCGAGAACCATTTCTAATCGCTGCTGCACCGACTGCTGAAAGACGCGCTGAATGAACTTTGTGAGGACGATTTCGTAATACGGGAACGCCCGCTTGATGATGAAGGACTCCTCCTGCATGACAATCTTGACTTCGTCGACTAGGGACTGCAACGAGGGCTCGACCCCGGGGGGCTCTGCGTCGGGATCCGCCAGCTGATCCCACGTCTCGCCGTCCGCCGTGACCTCGTCGTTTGTCAACTGATCCCGGTCGATGAAGAACTGGTGCTGGTTGACAAACGTGGCGATGACGCTGGCGCCGTTGTTGAAGTCATGCAGCACTCGCGCGCACTCCCTCATGTCCTCGAAATTCTGCTTCTTGTAGCTCCCGTTGAATTGCTGCAGCAGATCCTGCTCGAGGGTCTCGCAGAACTTCTCCAGCGCTTCGCGCGTGTTGTGCGTTTTCCCGTTGCCCTGTCCGTGACCGTTCGCGCCTTGGCCCGCCGCGTCCGCCGGCTGCCGTCCACCTTGATGCCACGAACTGGGCTCCAGACGCTGGCTGATGCGCATCAGCTGTCGAGCAATCACGGCGCAGCGGATTTTGTTCTCCGAGCCTCCCAGCCTCTGCATATCTGTCAGGAGGTTCAGGTTCCCCGTCTCGCTGACCTCGTTCCAGCACTGGATCAAAAATATGGCGTCGAGGGCCCTCTGTCTCTTCTTGTCCAGATCCTCCAGCTTCTCGCCAATCTGCACCGCGACATTGCCCCCACCGTCAGATCGACCGTTTGGTTCGTTCATGTCGGCGCTTCCAGATTGCAATGTGATATCCAACGCTTCGAAAGAGCTCATGCTCTGGTCCAGCTTCTTCCCCAGCGTGTCGAGTGTCTGGTCATGCTGAATCTCCGCGCGACGGACTTGGGTCAAGAGCTCCGTCTCCTTTGTCTGCAGCTCCTCCCCCAGCGAAGCCAGCTGCGCCTGCGCATTCTCAAACGTCCGGATCAGGGGTTTTGGATCAAATGCCGCACTGGCCGCAGGGACCGATCGACGACTCTCGGGGATCGCGCTGTCGGCAAGACTGTCGACAAAGTCACGGACGACAAAGTCCTGATTCGAGAAGTTGTCGAGGGTGAAGTCGGGACCCTTGGGGAAGAGCGTCTTTGCGCCAGAGCTGGAGCGCTCCATGGTGGCGATGGTTGGCTTGTCAGTCACATACGCGTCGCTACATGGGCGCGAGCGTCGTCTGGCTGCCCCGTTTGGATCGTCACAATGTCGGCTTGGTCGTGCTCGTGGAGCTGTAGTTAGAGAGGCTGTACCATCACTGTGGCGGCCACGCAAACATGTGGCTGCGAGAGGCGCGAGCTGGGCATTTCAGCCCCTCCTACGCCATGCTGCGCCACGACGCGTCGATCTGTGCGGCCCAACTTGAACTCTTTCTTGTGGAGACCGAAGCGTCGTCACTCTTTCGAAGCAAACAGAGGTGCGTCAGCTTAGAAGTCTGTGACCTTTCGCTCGAGGAGCTGTTCGTATATTTGTTCGCTTGTACTTCCACAGCTTCTTCTCGAATAACCCATCCCGTCGGCATAGACACTCGACACTCGCTTGCCCGAACCAAGCCAGCTCTGGCTGCAATACCGACGCAATGCCTTTGAACTACACAGATACCAAGGCCTATAGGGCTGATGAGAAAGTCCAACACAGCCAATTGACAGATCGCCAAAAACGCCATATCATGAAGGTATGGTTGCGCCCCCAGCAACGAACAACCCCATCTAACAGCTCTCCAGAACAGCCTGCCAGCGCCCGTCGAGAATCGACAACCGACCTCCACGCTCAGCGCGAAGCCCGAGAGAAGGTCGCGGCTGGGCATTCGCAAGTTCACGCTGCACCAGATCCACGTCCTCATTTTCGCCTGCATGCACGGCCTGTTCTCTCTCTACATCCGCATCCGTCAGATCATCAACGTCGTGAGCTATCAGCTCTCCTCGGTGCTCTACTACCACCACGCCACACCCCAATACATCCAGAAGGACGTCTCCCGGCTCAACAAGCTGCCGAAGCACTTGAGCGCCATCTTGAAGTCGGACAACAGGCGGGCGGCGGTTGACCTGGACCGCCTGGTTGACGAGACGGCCGAGCTGGCGACGTGGTGCGCCTGTGCCGAGATCCCTCAGCTGTCGGTGTACGAGAAGACTGGTCTGTTGAAGAAGCACATGCCCAGGGTGTACGAGGCTGTCACCCAGAAACTTGCATTCTACTATGGCGGCGACCACCCGTCGCTGTCGGTGACGTCGCCTCACCGAGACTCGTACTCGTCGCCTTCGCTGGACAACAGCCTGGGTCATCTGAAGCTGCACCTCATCTCGGAGCAGGACGGCAGGGAATCCGTCGTTGATCTGACGCGGACGCTCGCCGAGATGTCACAAAAGGGAAAGCTGTCGCCCAAGGATATCTCCATGGAACTCATCGACAATGAGTTGTCAGAGGGTATCATGGCCGAGCCCGACCTGCTCATTCTGTTCGGTCCCACCGTGCAGCTCTCGAGCTACCCCCCGTGGCAAATCCGCTTGACAGAGATCTTTTGCCTCAAGGACAACGAGACCTTTGGCTACCAAGTATTCCTCAAGGCGCTGCGCAACTACGCCAGTGCGCAAATGCGTCGCGGAAAATAAGTACGGATCGTCGCCAGGACATGGATGGATTGGCTCTGCTTCTGCTCTCTGTTCCTCATTTTCCTTCACGTTGGAGATACCCAGAATATCAACCCTTCCATAGCATCATCTCTTTCTTCATGCTGTCCCACCTGTATACTGGCCCCGAGCCTACATTGTAGTTGTAATAGTTTTCTGTGCCCCCCTTCACCATGGCTCTCCGAAACGTAATGTTGATCCTCCCGCCGTCCTCGGCATTCTTTCCTGTTCGCTTGGGAATGGAATGGAGCCACTTCGACTGTGTCGTTCCGCGCATGAGGATCATGTCCCCGCTGGCGAGGGGCAGTTTGAGTGGTTTGCTGGCTTTGTCCTCCTCGCCTGGGGGGAATGGCTTATGCTTCAACATGAAGTCGCGCCTTGCGCCGAGGGAGAAGGAGGCGATGGCCGGATCCAGTCCTAGGAATCTCTCGTCATCGCTGTGGTAGGAGATGCTATCGGCGCCGGAGGCGTAGTAGTTCACCAAGCAAAAGTTGAACTTGCAGCCTGTCACTGCTTCAGTGGATAGGCGGAGATCTTCGAGACATTTGGGAATAGGCCTTGGTGGAATTGTATCGTACTTCTTATCAGACACCTTGACACCGGTTTTAGAGTCAATCGGCAATCCTGCTTCATTGAAGATAGATGTGTCGTCCAGGCCAAAAACAGTTGTCCATCTGTAGGTGGTCAGCGTGCCCCTTGCTGCGCTCGCCTCTGTGAACAAACCTAGGTGTTTTGATGTGCGTTGATAATCCGCCCCTGTTGATGTCGTATTCGACACGATAGAAAGGAAGCTCCTGTCTCAGAAACTTGAAAAGATCTTTGGCGAGGTAAGATGGGATGTACGGCTCAAAGTAGAGCAAGTCAAGATCAGGCTGGTCATTGATGACCTTGCCAGGTCGTGCTGGTAAGCTAGCTATTTCCTTGCTCACAGATAATGAGAGATCAGTAATTGGATGGGGATAGGCTGGGTGCATGGACTTCAGGCCATCACCGGACAGAGGTTCTGGACCATTGGTGTCTGTCCGAGGCTTCTTTGGCGTCACGCCAAAGAAGGCATCCAATGTCCTCTTCTCAGGCATGTCTTTGGGCTTGCTATGAATCCATCCTGTCTGCGCCGGTGTTGTAGCAGGACAAGGCTCATGTCCTAATTGCGATGTTGGCGTCGGGCTGGGGCCCGTATAGCCTTGCAGCTTCAAGTCGTGACATCACCGAGGTACTATCCACAACACTATCACGTTTCCTCAGCCTTGCATTTCACGCAACATGCACAATCAGTGGCGTCTATGTACGACCAGCAAATAGCAACATGGATGCGGGAATGGAATGGCCAGCCGTCCATCCACCACGGACTATAACATTGACTTCCGGGAGCACACGCGCGTGAGACAAGGCACAGCCGAATCTTAGAGCACACAATTGAGGACATGTGGCCTTCACTCCAAGCTTCGTAGCCACTTTGCCAGTCTCGGGACTTTAACCAGAGACGTCTTGCTGGTTTGGGACTCGGAGCCTGGAGGATGGGATTGTTTGGTCAAACATGCCATTGCCAAGCCGAAGGAGTGTAGTGGACGGTGGAGACCCCTGGTCGCCATGGACCCCGAAACGCCTGGGCACTTATCGATATGGTCGATCGTGGAAGGCCCGGCAGGCTACCGCGCGGTCGCTGTGGAATAACCTGCGCAAGCAAGGCTCTGGGCGCAGAAAGTTGTATGTCTGGAAGTGCTCGAGGACAGACATTGGCTCCAGTCGCATTATTTCGAGACGTGAAGGATCGGAGCGCCAGGAACGGGCAAGGCATGTCCTGTCTCCATGTCCCTTACGCGGCTGGATCAAGGTGGATGGAGGGGCGTCTCCTCTCCTGTATCTTCGGCGGGAGCGGTGGGCGGCGCCGGCTCGTCATTGGCGGACGCTGGGAGGAGGCAAAGGCCAAGGGGACACTTGTTCACTCCAGGACCTCCACCCCCACTAATTCATGCTGAGAGCTCCGGCGAAGGCAAAGACAGCTGGCCGCATTACAAAACCACCACTACAGTATTATTCTTCCTCTTCCGTCCTTTCCTCCTGTCCATCATCTCCTCTCCATCCACTTCACAACCGTCGTCTTTGTAAAGATTCTCTTACTTAGACAATCGCCTATCATGCAGCACAAGCGTCTCGCCTGGGCCTTCCTGGCCGCTGCCGCCGCCGGCTTCGCCAGCGCTGAGGACTCGGATGTGGCCCAGCTCACAAAGGACACCTTTGACGACTTTGTCAAGTCCAATGATCTCGTGCTTGCCGAGTGTAAGTTGTCTCTTGAATACCTGAATCTTCATCAGCTCACATAGTCTCAGTCTTCGCCCCGTGGTGCGGTCACTGCAAGGCCCTCGCCCCCGAGTACGAGGAGGCTGCCACCTCGCTGAAGGAGAAGGACATCAGGCTCGCCAAGGTCGACTGCACCGAAGAGGCCGACCTCTGCAAGTCTTTCGGTGTCGAGGGCTACCCTACCCTCAAGGTCTTTCGCGGCCCTGACAACATCGCCCCCTACACTGGCCAGCGCAAGGCTCCCGCTATCACCTCCTACATGGTGAAGCAGTCCCTGCCTGCTGTCTCTGCCCTGACCAAGGAGACTCTCGAGGACTTCAAGACCGCCGACAAGGTCGTCCTTGTAGCCTACGTCGCTGCCGACGACAAGGCCTCCAACGAGACCTTCACCAAGGTGGCCGAGTCTCTCCGCGAGACCTACCTCTTCGGTGGCGTCGCTGACGCTGCGCTCGCCGAGGCCGAGGGTGTCAAGGCCCCCGCCATTGTTCTCTACAAGGCCTTCGACGAGGGCAAGAACACCTTCACCGAGAAGTTCGAGGAGGAGGCCATCAAGACCTTCGCCAAGACCTCGGCCACCCCCCTCGTCGGTGAGGTTGGCCCCGAGACCTACGCTGACTACATGTCCGCTGGCATCCCCCTGGCCTACATCTTCGCCGAGACCCCCGAGGAGCGCGAGACTCTTGGAAAGGCTCTCCGTCCCATCGCCGAGACCTACAAGGGCAAGATCAACTTCGCCACCATTGACGCCAAGTCGTTCGGCGCCCACGCCGGCAATCTGAACCTCAAGACCGACAAGTTCCCCGCCTTCGCCATTCAGGACACCGAGAAGAACCTCAAGTTCCCCTTTGACCAGGAAGCTGAGATCACCTTTGATGCCATCAAGAAGTTCACCGAGGACTACACCTCTGGCAAGATCGAGCCCAGCATCAAGTCTGAGCCCATCCCCGAGACCCAGGAGGGTGTCACCGTCGTGGTCGCCAAGAACTACGAACAGATCGTCCTCGACGACAACAAGGACGTTCTCGTCGAGTTCTACGCCCCGTGGTGCGGTCACTGCAAGGCTCTCGCCCCCAAGTACGACGATCTCGCTGCGCAGTACGCTGCCTCCGAGTTCAAGGACAAGGTCGTGATCGCCAAGGTCGACGCCACCGCCAACGACGTCCCTGATGAGATCTCTGGCTTCCCCACAATCAAGCTCTTCCCCGCCGGTGGCAAGGGCTCTCCCGTCACATACAAGGGCTCCCGTACCGTCGAGGACCTCATCAAGTTCGTTGAGGAGAACGGCAAGCACAAGGCTGGCATCTCGCCCGCAGAGGCTGAAGCTGCTCCTGCCGCCTCGGAGAAGGCTGAGGAGAAGAAGGAGGATGCCAAGGATGAGCTGTAGAGCGATCTTTGCGAATGAATGTACGTTGTGCGCGCTGAAACAAATACAGCAGCGGAGGAACTAAATCATAGCTTTTGATGACTTACGGGCGCTGGTTCATGGATGTCCCCAAAAGGGGATTTTACAGTTGACAATGATATCCTTTACGACTATGATGCAATATGCCTGTGTGTCTGATGTTTGAACGTATTGGTTTGACATTTACTCTCTCGCCTTAGTGCCGCAATGGCAGCTCCAAGAATAGATGGCCTGAATCACTGCCAGACTATCTGACTGCATCTGACCCTGGACATGTCCATCTCACGGCTAGTGATACATGTATGTTTCGCATTCTTGCTCAAAACTTTGCTCCCTTGTTACTGAATGCTCTTCTTCAAGCCAGCCCTCGCAGGTGGCAGCTATTTCTTCTTCTCCTGTAGGCGGGTCTCGAGGTTCTGAACGTAGTTTGTGAGGCGCGTGACGGAGGCTTGCAGGGTCTGTGGGAATGTCAGCGATGCGCATGAGTGAAACGGGGTTCGAGAGAAGTGCCCATTCTATCAACAATTGATCATAGGAGTCTTCCTCGGCTTCGGTGGTGCACATACGTAGATGTCCTCGGTCAACAGGTCGTTCGAGGCCTTATACTCCCCCACGAGGTAGGAATAGACAGCGCTGCCAGAGAGAACAGTACCGAAGAGGAATCCGAAGAGACTGGATTGTTAGCAATTATATTCCGACTCGCAAGTCCACAGGGACAACTTACCCTCCGCGGAAAGCACCCATGGGTCGCCTCGGAGGCAATGGCGCAGCATCCGCCATCCTCCTCGCCGACGTGTGGAACGTACGCGCGCCGCCGCGTAGCAGTATTCTCGAGGCTCCAATCATCTTTTCTGTGGGCTGATTTCGACTTGATGTTGGTACAAGGGAGAGGGATGACGTGCCGGATGAAGTGGGAAGACGACCACCCGTTGAGCGCGAGCTGTCTGGGGCAGGTCGGGAGATCGTGGGTGAAATGGCGATGGGGTCAGTCTGATTGGTCGCGTTCCCGACGTCATCTCCACCACAGCTTTGTCCGAGTCGGTCCTCCGTAATCCGTACGGGTACCTTTTGTACGTATCGGCATTCTTCGACTTCTATTACCTGATCAGCCCGCCTTATCGAGCAGCATGAACAACTTTGGTGTCTTTGAGGTCGCGAGCGCAAAGACGACCAACGCCCCGGGTTGGGCTTACGTGCCTGACACGGGGCATCGACCGACGTCTACCCTTGCGCCTACGAACCGAAAACGAGCGAGGAACACTGCTCCAGGTCCGAGTCTGGGGGATTTAACAGCCCGGCAGGAAGCGAGGCTACGTAAAGAAGTCGATGCCTTGATGAACGATGGGAATAGAGATAACACGATCCCTCTTCCGGGGAAACGATGTACGTGCTTTGGGAAGCTGGCTGGTCTAGGACATGACGACTGACACGATGCAGCACAAGGCAAGACGGGCGCGACGAGGAAGATACTGCAATCGCAAAAGACATTTGCGAATCACCTAGACGATTTTCACGCCATGCAGCAGGCTGAGGCCACAGCAGCCGCCACAGCAGCAAGTAGCAAGCGAGGCTCGACCCTGAAGAATCAAACCGACATGGACACGTCCATGACCGACGCACTCGCCGTTACCAAGCCACATTCGCCGATCCTTAAACCTCTTCTCACGCATTTCCCACCTCCGCATCCTGGCGATGACGATCCGCTGCTCATGTCACGTGTGCCATCCGTTCCGTCGGACGAAGAAATCCGGGCTCTCCTATCACATCCGCCTTTGACGTACCTTGAAGCTAGAGGCACCTGGGACGGCAACGATGCGGCGAAACCGCCTATACGAGTATTCTGCGAGGTTTGTGGGTATTGGGGTCGGGTGAGGTGTATGAAGTGCGGCACGCGCGTTTGTGCGCTCGACTGCCTGGAGACGCACCGGGAAGAATGTGTCACACGATACGGTTTGTGAAAGGGAAAGGCACAGGCGTTTTCGATGTTTATGATACCCTTATATATTGGCGTTTTGTGTATGGTCCGAGTTGGAGGACATTTTGAACATTGGGTTTGCACTGGTTTCTCGGGCAAGGCGCGATCGTTTCGCTTGAGGCCAGAATCTTCGCTCTTGAGCAGCCTCATACTGGAGGTGTCTGTATCAGAGTCCATCCGTTTGGTAAAAATGAAGCGTACTGCATCATGAGGCAGTTAGAATTGCACCACACATGGTCGCTTCAAGTGTCCCTAAGACTCGAGTTCTGTTGACCCCACTTCGCGTGTGCCCCTCCATCCCCTCCATCGGACAGCCCAGCCTGAAGTGTGACTGTTTTCGAACTTTTCGATCGCAACATCTGTCAGTCTTTCAACGGGCTTCATTCCATCATGGCGTCCGAACAAGTCGATGCTCCCAAGCCGGCAGAGGGCGCACCCGCGCAGGACCTTCCTGTCCGACAGGACAAGCCCAAGAAGGAGAAGGCGCCCAAAGCCAAGGGCAAGCCTGGAGTAGAGGTTGGCAACTCTCCCTACCTACGCAAGACCGAGAAGGCAACACTGTGAATTAACACGCTGAAAGCTTGCTGAACTTCCCGAATACATCCAACACCGCCTCGACGTCTTCAACCGCATCAAGGAGCGAGCCGACGCCGAGATTGCAGCGAAGCCGCGCGAGGAGATTACCATCGCACTGCCCAATGGCAAGGAGGAAAAGGGCACTGCTTGGGAGACTACCCCGGGAAGCATTGCCAGGAACCTCTCCAAGTCCTTGTTCGAACGCACTGTCATCTCCACTGTTGACGGCGAACTCTGGGACCTGACCAGGCCATTGGAGAAGAGCTGCAAGTTGGAGCTGCTCGACTTTGAGCACCCTGAGGGTGAGTTGACAGTTTCAGTCAAATACTCGGAGAGATGGTACTGACAGGCGTAGCTAAGAAGGTTTTCTGGCACTCGTCGGCTCACGTTCTCGGTGAGGCCTGCGAGAGGCGCTTCGGGTGCTACCTCTGCAATGGTCCTCCCACCACGGAGCCCCCTGGCTTCTACTACGACATGGCGAACATGGGAGAGTATGGCTGTCTATTTGACGTGTATTTGGACTCACGCTGACCCTTTTGCAGCAAAGTTGTTGCCGACGAAGACAAGAAGGCCCTGGAGACCATTGCCAACTCCATCGTCAAAGACAAGCAACCTTTCGAGCGCCTCGAGATGACCAAGGACGAGCTCCTCGAGATGTTCAAGTACAGCAAATACAAGGAGTACTTCATCAACCAGCGTGTTCCCGACGGCACCAAGAGCACTGTATATCGCTGCGGTCCCCTGATCGATTTGTGCCGTGGTCCCCACGTGCCCACCACTGGCAACATCAAGGCCTTCTCTGTCCTCAAAAACTCGGCTGCGTACTGGCTCGGAAACAGCGACAATGAGTCTGTCCAACGTATCTCTGGTATCTCGTTCCCTGACAAGAAGGCGCTCGAGGAGTACAAGACGTTCCTCGCTGAGGCCGCGAAGCGCAATCACCGCAAGATTGGACAAGACCAGAAGCTCTTCTTCTTCGATGAGATGTCGCCTGGCTCTACATTCTGGTTGCCCCACGGCACCCGTATCTACAACACTCTGCTCAAGCTCATGCAAGAGCAATACGCGAAACGGGGCTTCCAGGAGGTCATGTCGCCCAACATGTACAAGTCAGACCTCTGGAAGACCTCGGGCCACTGGGGCCACTATGCCGAGAACATGTTCACTTTCGAAGTCGAGAAGGAGACCTACGGCCTGAAGCCCATGAACTGCCCCGGTCACTGCAGGATCTTTGCGCACTCCGATATCACATACAAGGACCTGCCGTGGCGCATGGCCGACTTTGGTGTCTTGCACCGCAACGAGTTCTCCGGAGCTCTGTCGGGTCTGACCCGTGTGCGTCGTTTCCAGCAGGACGACGCTCACATCTTCTGCACAGTGGAGCAGATTCGCCAAGAGATCGGGGGCGCTTTCGACTTTCTGTACGCAGTCTATGGCCTCTTTGGCTTCGAGTTCAAGCTGAAGCTCTCCACTCGCCCAGAGAAGTACATTGGCGACATTGGAGTCTGGAACATGGCCGAGGATAAGCTGCGACAGGCTCTAGATACATTCGTGGAGAAGATTGGCAGCAAGTGGGAAGAGAACCCTGGTGACGGTGCCTTCTATGGCCCCAAGATTGACATTACAGTGTACGATGCGCTGAAGCGCGAGTTCCAGTGCGGTACCATCCAGCTCGACTTCAACCTCCCCAACCGGTTCAAGCTCCGTTACCTTGCTTCCAAGGATGAGGTGCTGCCCGAAAGCGCAGCCAAGGACCCGGAACTGCCCGCGGGATACGGTCGTCCAGTGATGATTCACCGTGCGGTCCTGGGTTCCTTTGAGCGCATGATTGGCATCCTGACAGAGCACTTTGCCGGCAAGTGGCCATTCTGGCTGAGCCCCCGCCAGGTCATGGTCGTCCCCGTCATGCCAAAGATGAACGACTATGCGTTGGAGGTGCAGAAGATCTTCAGCGACAAGGGCATCTTCATCGACGCCGACACAAGCGCCAACACGCTGCAGAAGAAGATCCGCACAGCACAGCTGGAGCAGTACAACTACATCTTTGGTAAGTGCACACGTCTAGTCGGAATGAATCGCTGCTAACGTGGAGTGAAATAGTCGTCGGCGCAGAAGAGGAGAATGCCCGCACAGTCAACATTCGCAACCGTGACGACCAAGCCACTCAGAAGCTAGGCGAGATGATTGCCATTCAAGATGCTCTTGATGGAATGCTGAAGCTCAAGGAGGAGAGGCGTCTGGAGAACAAATTCTAAGGACTGACTTGCGAGAAAAGAAAGGTAGAGAGGTGTTGGGAGGCGTTGAATGTAGAGAGACTAAGAACAAGCATTTGAGCCATGCCACTCAGAGATGTCTAGCTCTGGCTATCTGAGAAGTGATTAGAGCAACATTTGATTATAGGTGCTACGATGAGATTTCCAACTGCCATTCTCAACAGTGTGTGGTGCGTGTTGGAGGTAGCAGAATGGACGCTCAATCTCAATACTTCTCAACTCCAAGAGCGACCACATCTGATTAGAAGCACGTGGCTAAGCATCAATGTCGGTGATCGCATGCCGACACTTCTACAGAGACAAACAAGTAACTCGTGATCTTTGCTTGCTCGCGAATCGAAGATGTCGATAACTTCCTTTCGTCGCGTTGCTGCTTAGTGGTCACTGCATTCGGGGGCGGTGGAGGTGCATGGACGAACCGCGTCTCCCCACGTTGCCTGGCTGTTCGGTCTCGGTGTCTCGGACACATACTCTGAAGAAAAGCCATTTGAGGAAACAGAGGACCCCGGTTCCGTAGACTGTGACTCGAATATGCAGCTCAGCGCGGAACGGGCCAGCGCGCGCGGGAGGAGGGCACAAGGGTGGTGGTGATCGGGCGATTAATATATCGTCACCACCCTCAAGACGGGACCATCGATGCAGATGCCCGTCGGTCAAGATGCGGAGCGGGATAGGTGGATTTCTACGTACGTAGGTATCCCGAATTTTATTGCAGCAAGAAAAGTGTCAAAGCGCCGCGCGGGTCAGACTGGCCGAGCGTAGAAATTGTCAGAGCCTCTTGCTCTCAAGCAGTCTTGGCCATGCATCACATCGTCAGCGGCGATTTGATTTGCCCGTCCTTGAAGACATTCAGCAAATGACTGTGTGATTGGCGCGAATAGGTCTCCGCTGCCGCGTGTCTCAGTGATGGTCAGCTCGGTTATAACAGTCATCGAAATGTCTGCAAAGCTGGCGACGAGAGCGCATGGAACCGAGGTCTTGAGTTACGCGAGTGGCGCCCCGGAAGGCGGCAGGTGGCGGCTCGTCCAAAGATACCAGGTAGGTAACTGTCAAGGCGACTCGCGACTCGCGACTCGCGAGGAGGATGCACTCCTGCAGGCGTATCCAAATGTGTGGCACGGTCCGCGAATGTCGAATAGTGTCGACAGAAGGATGGATGGCTGACGGCATACCGTAACGAGCCAAGACAGCAGACAGGAGAGGATGCCGTGTCCAGCTATCTGTCTCGTATTATCAATGGAAAGTGACTCAGTCTAGTGCTACTAGTAGTAAGTAATAATTATAATTGACGATGTTCTGGCGTGGGGGTTCAAGCGCGCCAAAGGGAATGTCCTCGGAAGATTCATTAAGGCCCCTGTTCACTAGACCAACAACGAGTTGAACATACCTTACCTGGTAATTAAATAGCTGCGGCCAGGAAGACTGTGACGCGCACTGTGCAGACGAGAGTGGCTGGCCGTAGTCTCTGCTCCTTCCAAATCAGCCCCTTGTCTTTGCGCTGGAATTGACTTCTTGCACGTACCCAGATAACTTCCTCTTGGTCATAGGCTACTTACCTCAGGTGATCGAATCTAGCGTCTGCGCAGTACGCGAGGATTGCAGCTATCCGGTACTGGAGATAGGTGCTACGGCTAGCACAGTGCGTCGGACCCCCGCGCCGATCTATGCTCTTTCCTAATTGAGAGTACAAAGTTACTAAGTCAGTCTCTCAGAAGAAGGAACGTGGGACTGAGCGGACATTGCCGCCCCTCCCGCCAACCACAGCCACTGATTCAGTGATTCTCGAGCCTCGAGGCTTTTGAGCTCTTACCGAGTCGAGGAAGGGTCAGAACTCCACTTATTGTTCTCCCGCGGCACCAACTCCAGGCAACTCCAGCCAACAGGGTCTAACACACTTTCTTTCCGTCTTCAAGGTCTCTACATTCTTTATGAGTCGCCGGCCCCATGTCTCCCTCGCTTCACCTCGCCTTTGCAGGCGACGTTTAAAGATTTTCCGCTGATGTTGTACGAGAATCTGATCGCCAAGCACCGGCCACGACGTTTGGCGCAGCGTTCGACCTTCACCAACCACCATTCACCACCCACATCCAACAGCTGATCTCAGTGATCCCATCATCGCATAGCCCAAATTGACCACAAGTCTACTTCTCTCCGGCAAGACCACCTGCTGGTAGGCCCGAGACACGACGAGCTCCAGAACCACGTCCAGCATTCACGGCCCAACGAGACACGACTCCCACTGGATCGTCGCACTTCGACTCGCAGCCTGCAGAACATCGGGCTCCAAAGCTGGTCAGCGGCGCTGACACCAGCGACACGGGCACATGACAGACAGGAAGTTGCACTGTGTCACTGCTTCATGCTTTGATGCGTGGAAACTCGACTCACACACTTTTTGCGGCATGACCAGCGTGCCGAGATAGCTGGGCTGTGGATCATGCCGCACAAGAAACCTCGCACAAAGTCACATCGGTCCGCTGGCGGGCATAGTCCTTTCAACATCGAGATCGACGGGCAAAATGGGAGCCTCATGCCTTCTGACTACTGCGGACATGCGTCAAACCTAGAAAACGAGCATGAAGATGCACCGCTCGAGCAACATAGGCACGACTATGACTATGGCAACGAGGAGAGCGAACTTGAGGAAGTCCAACCACGGACCGTCCACCACGTTGATCAGAATCAAGGCGATTCGCAAATGACCCTCTACAGCCAGCTTGATGCAGCAGAGGATATCGAAATCGAAACTATGAATGGCACCAGCTCATCGGAGGACGCACCAATGACGGATACAAACCCCGTTGCTAGCACACTCTGGCTTGACTATTTACATAGCGCCAATGGCCCATATGTCCCAGACCTGTCGTTTGCCTATCAATCTTTTAACTCCGCTGGAAGCTCGGATGATCACTCGCAAATGGCAGGCGGGCTGGTGAGCGAGAGTGAAGAAGAAGGTGATGATGATGATGACGATGAAGGGGAAGGGGAAGCTGCCTCCCAGACTACTATGCAATTTGCAGCGGACGGGACGCAGGAGCACTCGTCTACGCACTCGTCTTCGCCATCTCCCAACATAGTCGCTGCAAGCACAATGCAAACATCCCCAAGTTCGGTCGTCACTCCTGCAACGCCAACTGAACTATTCTCCTTTGCCTTCGATTCATCAACGGGGGCTGGAGATGTTTCCACGATTTCAGCGACGCACAACACGGCCGCCTTTCACGCCGAAGCCGACGAGCCTCTTGGTCAAGGCCAGTTGCCGACGTTACTGGGTCCGCACGTCCCGAATATGTTAGGATCGGTCAATATGGGATTGGGAGAGTTCTTGGACGAATGGTCGCATCCAGTACTCGCGGTTCCCGAAGCTACGCGGCCAGATTATCCCCACTTGCTTCTCGAAACCTCAAAACAGCTCACCAAAATCAGACGCGTCCATCTAAGAGGGGACCGCTGCGATTTTCAAGGCATCAACTGGAGCGCAATGGGTGTGACCCGCCAGCTTGCCCGGGCGAGAAGAGCGAGGACGTTTCAGAACTATACGAGCTGGCCTGGATCGGATGACGATCCCCAGGGTGCTGATGTACGGCCAAGGCCTGGCCCAACACTGCTAGGGGACGAGAACCCTTTTTCACATAGCACGTCTGGCCTCGCTTCGGGGAACTATTTCCGGTTTCGAGAGATGCACATACGAGAGGAAATCGCCCTTGCGCATTTTCAGTTGCGCAGCTCGTTGGCCAGCCCATTTCGTTCGCAAATACACTACGTCAGCCGCTTGGGCATTTCCAAAGTCGACCCCGTCACAGGGAACCACGGAGAGTCGCTGCAATGGACTGAGTTTCCTGTGTTTGGCCGCGCATTCACCACTCTTGGGGCGAATCAGGATGTTCTCGTTGCTGGGAGTTTTACCGGAGAGTACGTCATTTCGTCTCTGCACAGCACAGACATACAAAATTTTACCCAGGGCACGATTACGGAAGCGGCGTCTGGTATCACGAATCACTTGCAGGTACACAAACAGCGCAGTACGTCCAACCCTGTCGCTTCCATATGCAGCAACGACAACGGTTTTAGAGTGCTGGACCTGGAGACCCAACAGTTCGTGTCCGAATTTGGCTATGGGTTTGCCCTGAACTGTTCTGCCGTATCTCCCGATTGTCGTCTTCGCGTCATGGTGGGCGACTCCAAAGATGTCACCATTGCCAACGCGGAGACCGGGGACACGGAGGTCACGCTGACGGGTCACGACGACTTCGGCTTCGCGTGTGACTGGTCCGACGACGGCCGCTATCTGGCCACAGGCTTCCAAGACAAGACGATCAAGATCTGGGATCCGCGCAGGTGGAAGGACGCCAATGGCACAAGCACGCCGCTGCAGCATTTTCGGACCGATCTCGCCGGAGCCAGAGGCCTGAAGTTCTCGCCTCTCGGAAGCGGCGAGTCCGTCCTCGCCGCAGCTGAGGAGGCCGACCATGTACACGTCTACAGCACACACGCCTTTGGCAGGGAAACGTACGACGCCGACACTCGGCAGACGTTTAGTGTCTTTGGTGAGCTTGGGGGCATTGACTTTGCAGAAGGCGGTCAGGAGTTGAATGTTCTTGTGGCGGATGAAGAAAGGGGGGGCATTCTGCAATTAGAACGATGCGGCACACGGAGAGATGCCACCGATGCGATACCACTGTTTTGATAACGATTTGTATACCACGACTGGAGGCACTAGCTGCCATGATCATGACGGTTATGAGAGAGCGAGAGATGCATGGGACGATACCAGAGGCATGGCATTGGGCATTCTTGGAATAGGGACTTGACAACGTGCGGCACGAGTGTTCTTGGCTAGACAGCTCGACACAGCAGGAACTAGGGAGGCCCATGACAGCGCCACAAATATATGGATTTGGTGGGCTTTCGCATGAACTACGAGTCATACGGTGAGCTCTATGGGCTGTTCCTACATTGCGAAGCGAATGAACACGGGCTTGGCTCGCCCTCACGTGGAGCAGCCAACGGATCCAATGTTGCTCAAGCGTCCCTTGCTCAGTGAAATTCGAATTCTCATCAGATGACATGTCTCACGCGGATCCGGTCCGAGGTTAAAGACAATTCTAGTTCTGATGACGGTGACAAGCATTACGTACCAGGTTATCAACCACTGCATGATCGCAGAGTGCTGCGACTGATCAGCGGGCCTCGACCTTTCTGACCAGGTCTTGTTTTACGACGCCAAGGATCTTGCTAGCCATCGGCCAAGCAATACTACGGGAGATTCTGACTATGGACAATGGATATTAAAGATCAAAGTACCTAGGTCGCCCAAGTCCATGGGGATGGTATGGCGAGTGCAGAGCTGTTCAAGTCAGGGAGCAAACAATGGACGAGCAGGAATCATATGTACGAGCTTATTCATGTAAATACGTCGTTCCATAATAAACACTAATAAATTACAGCAGTTGTGTGAATCATGCTTCACGGCATCCCAGTAGATATGACTGCTCTCCGAGTCTTCCCAAATGACGCGGACCATGCTTTGTAGATATGCGAGAAAAAAATGTACCCAGAGAAAAGTAAGAATAGACACTCACGCCTTGCGTTTGTACCTCACCGCCAGACTCTGTCCCCAAGGATGCGCAAGACCGACGGAATCAGCACCGGAAGAGAGGTAGCGATGATCGTGGCTCTGGGTGTGACCATATCTGCATAAGCAGGCGGGTGACTCGACGGGCCTTTGGGACCGGGATGCCAGCGTTGATTGCCAACCCCAGCGCTCTAGGAGACAGAGACAGACCATGGGGCAAAAGCTGCAAGGGTCGAAACCAAAAGTGCACTCTTACAGGGAGGCAAAGTAGTCCTGGGCACCCCAGAACTGCTCGCAGCCGTACTCGCCAGGCTCCTTCCAGGCATCGTTGCCGAAGGAGAAGAAGATGGTGCGGTCACCGCACTCCTCACGGATGGACTTGAGAGCATCAGCCTGCTGAGACTTGCCGGGGCAGGCCTCGCCGTTGCAGCGGCTGCCGTTGTTGGGCCAGCCGCACTCCAGGTTGACGGCGGACTTGCCCTTGCAGATCTTGTCAAGGATGGCGAGCTGGCCCTTGACGAACTTGCCGGCGAGCGTGGCCAGGTTGGCCTCGTTGAAGAAGGGGTGGATGTTGGCGCCGGTGAAGTCAATCTCGTCGCAGATGGCGGCAGCGGTGCTGGGGTCGAGCCACTGGTCGAGGGTCTCGGCAATGGTGTAGGGGCCAGTGTAGCCGGAGCACTTGGACTTGACGGTCTTGATGAGGGTAGCAAGCTCAGTAGGGGTGCAGAAGCCGTTCATGATGGACTCGTTGCCAACAATGAAGAGCTTGACAAGATCCCACTGGGCCCACTCGGAGATGGCGTCAATCTGCTCCTTGATCTCAGGGGTGTCGGGGGAGCAGCCAGTCTCCTTGACGAAGAGGCCGATCAGCATCTGGAGACCGTGCTTCTTGCAGGCATCGCCGACGGAAGGGAGAGTGTCGCAGTCAGTGGAGTAGACACGGACAACCTGGAAACCGTTCTTCTTGATCTCTTGAATGTCACTGTCGACGCGGCTGGCAGACTTGCACTCGCCAGTGGACTCATCGTAAGGTGTGTAGGTGATACCGTAGTGGTCGCCGCTACCACCGAAGCTGCCATCAAAGTGACCGGTGTTGCTCTTGCTGGTGGTCTCCTTGGTGGGCTCCTCGGTCTCGGTCTCCTGCTCCTTGGGGGTCTCAACCTTGGTCTCCTTGGGGGTCTCAACCTTGGTGGTCACCTCCTCCTTAGGGGCCTCGGGGGTCTCAGGGGCCTTGGTGGGCTCAGGGAGACCAGAGCTAGTGTAAGGGCAGACGTAGACGAAGTCAGTCTCGGTGACGGTGATAACCTGCTCGGGAGCAGTGTAGGTACCGGGGTTGTAGCTCGTGGGGACGGGGAACTCGACGTCGCACTCCTCGGTCACGGTGGTGGTGATGGGGTTGATGGTGTAGGTACCAGCCGAGGGGCAGACGTACTCGGTCTGGACGATGGTGCTGGTAACAACGCCGTTAGGCTGGGTGGTGACGGTAGCCACGGGGCAAGTCACGGTGGTAGCCTCGACGACGACGGTGGTCACGCCACCGACGGTGTGGGTTCCGGGAACAACGTGGACGCTGGTGGGGACGCAGACGGTGGTGGTCTCGGGAACGGTCACGGTGGTGGCCGGGATGGTGTAGGTGCCAGGCGTAGGGCAGGTGGTGACTTCGGGGGTAGGCACGGGGACCTTGACCTCCTCCGAGGTGGTAGGCTCGGGAAGAGGAGTCGAAGTTGTCGTGGGGACCTCGGGGGCGACGGACGAGGAGCTGGGTGTCACGATCGCAGACGAGCTTGACGACTCGGAGCTTGTCTGGGGAGGAGGGTTGGGCACAAGCGTGGGCTCGCCGGTGATGTAGGTGTAGATGGTGGTGCAACCGCAGGTCTCGGCGACGTTCTTCTTGTGAAGACCGGCGTGGGCGTGGCGGTGGTTGAGCGCGGTGGCGCTGCCGACCAGGGCCGCGAAAGCGGCAGCAGCAATACCTCCCTTCATTCTGTCGGATTTTCTTGTGGTTTTCTGATAAACGAATGCCCGCTAAAAGAGTGAAGCGGTATGTTGGAATGAGAGCGTGAAGAACGAAAGGACGAAAGCGAGCGTGAGCGAAGGCTTTCTTTACGAAATCGACGTGAACGGATCGTAAGGAGGGAGGAGAGGAGAGGGAATCGGACGGACAGATGGGAGCGGTCGGGGATGTTATTATTTTCGCGCCTAACGACCCAGCCGGCCCCCAACTCAAGGCAGGCAACCCAGGTCACCCCTGGCTGGGGTCGAAGAACAGTCGTGAGATGAAGCCAAGAGGCCGGCCTGTACATGGACAGCCACTGCCAATGCGCCAACTCGGAGGTACCGTCGCCCAAGACAAGCGCAGCTAGCCAGGGCCGTCGTTGACCGTGGTCACCGCTGTCCGCGAATAGGGGCTGTGTGGAGCATCCTGCGTCGCAGTGCAATTTCCATTGGCTTCAAGGCTCGAATGTCACCTGGAAAGGGGGCAGGCCTCGCAAACACTATGCCAGGATGCTCCAGGGGAAGTGGCGAATGAGCGGTCGCAAACGCCTCGGCCTCTGCGCCCGTGCTGTCGTAGGCTACATGAGCACAGAAGACCGAAATGACCAGCCAGCCAGTCTTTCAAGGGCGGCGCTTGACAGCGGTTAAGGGCGAGCGAGCGCTGCGTGTCTGCTGAGCTGGGTTGGGTTCACCGTTCTGTCGCCCTTGATCATCTGCCGTTGATTCATTTGTGAACCTGATTGACTCTGTCGTTTGATTGGGACTTGTCCAAGATCGAGGCAGTGTTGATCGTTCCCTTGTTTGAGGTTTGGCGTGTGGGGCCACAAATTTGTTCCTGCGTCTGGGAGACTGGGCCCAGCCCCGATTCAGGAACGCGCGCCCCTCGGTTGTTGGCCTCGCAGATTTGACTTGCAGCTGGCAATTGAGCTTCACCAGCTTTCTTCATCTCCAAGACTCCAAATGCGGAAGCTGGGCCATTTCAACCCGAGTCCATCCCCACGTCCTCGCATCTTCCGCGTCGCTCCGTAAATAGCACGTCGACTGAGCAAGCATGCTGCTCCTCGCATTGACAGTGGGCTCACTCGTGTTGTGAAATCAGCCTGCTGTGTCAATTTCCGTCGTCGTGGGGTCAGGCGCCGCCGTCGAGAGGCTAACTTTAAGTTGCAGGCGCCTCTGCCGGCATGGAGTGGAAGGCTGCGTAAGACAGCACGTATGGGGTAAGGTTCACATCACAAGTCCGCAACCCGCCGTGATGAAGAACGAGCCCGGGTCTCCAAGTGCAGATGTCCCTGATGCAGAGTGCAGACGTCGCTGGCGTGATCAGATGTCGTTGATCCTTCCTTGTGATCCCACTGCCGTTTCTCTTCGGTCTTCACCAGGTGGGGCCTGATGGTTTAACCAAGCACGGTTAAGATGTGCAATTCAGCCATGTGTCTCATTCCGGGAGATCACGACCGATCGGTACGGCCAAAAGCTTGTGCGTTGGTGACCCCAGGCACCGAAAACATTTCGAATGATAGGCAATGATAATACGTAGCTTGAAAGTTGCCCAGGCTGTCTCCCTTTGCTGGCGAGTGACCGGCGCTTGTTCTCTTCTGTTGTTGCAGGGTAAGCAGGCAACCCAACTCCAGCGTCCAGTCTGGCCTGACCAGAGGTTGAGTTCTCTGCGGATCCGGAGGTCCATTGTGATTAGTGTCCTATCCACTGACTGATCCCTTGTGCAACTGAACCTGCCATTGAATTCATGCGCATGCAGTGTGGCAATGTTGCTTTCGGTGGGCGGTCTGACAGACAAAAACGTTGTCAACAATGTGAGAAACTCCGGTCCGTCATGGTGAAGAAGATGGCGCAACGCTGTGAAGACAGACTCGGGAGTGAAAAGAGGAAAAGGAAAAGAATCCAATGCTCAGCCATGAGTTGGATCAGACATTCATCTGTTCCTGCCTGCCTTATTTACCTTGCGCTGAGGAATGCAGCAACAGTCGAAGGTCATGTGACTGCGCGCCCATGGGCAGCTACTATACGCGGAAAGTGCCACCGCCGTCCCGCCGTTGGGGGTCGTTGACGCGCTGTAACTGAAGGTAGGCGACTGGAGGCAGCCCAGAAAATTTCCGGTCGCAAGTTGAATCACCACCACCATTACTCCATCAACCCAACCCACCGCATCGACGACGACTGAGACAGACCACGCCAGCAACGCAGGTCTGCTACTTCCAGACAGTTGTTTGCTCAGCAGGCCGGTCGAGGCAATGCTGCGGTCCTCAGTTCAGGCTACAGTCTGCCGCCAATGCTCATTACGCAGACTTGCTAGCAGACGACCTCACCATGTCTCCGCCACTTTGGTCACCTCTAACCGCCCGGGCGGCGCATCTTCCGCGAGTTCGTATGCGCATGTAGAGAACACCGTGCGATACAGTACCGAAGCCCGAAACCCACCGCCAAACGATCCTCTCCCCGTGCCAGACCTCGCCGAGGGCACCAACGTCTCCCCTCTGACGGCCGTACCCGATCCGTTGCTTGGGAAGAATGGCGCTCGTCCTCCTATGCGAGACTACCTTCGCCTCTGGATCGATGCGAATCGGCCGGACAAGAGGGTCGTAGCGGACTCTCACGACCTCGGAGACCAAGCGCTGACGCATAAATCCATCAACTCCATCGTCCGAACGCAAACAAGCCAATCCATCAACAACGAGGTGATCAACCCCGAGCAAGCGGGCATGGCCAACTTGAGCGACGGCCGGGTCTTCAACAGGGACGACTTCGAGGTCGGGCTCGAGTCCAAGAAGCCGGGCGACTTGGTGGAGATGAGAAGCTCCAGCTCCAGGACGCCCGTATTCGCGGTCTATCTTGGCTTCATAGCTTCGCGACATCACTTCTACGGCCAGCAGGGACGTTGGATCATGAGCACCGGCTTCACGTCCCTCTTCACCGTGTCCAATTTCGCCAGCCAGGTCGAGATCCAGCCTATCCTGGACGCCTTACCGAGAGTCAACTCGACGGAGGAATTCGACGAAGCCCGCATTAACGACCGCGGACCCCCACGAGCCGTTGGAATGGCTCTTATTGAGAAGATGCACAACTTCATGACTGAAGCCAACGCGGTGCGCCTTCAAAATCTCGACAAGCTGGACAGGATCAGGCAGCTCGTGGCAGCAGAGACGCACACCAAGTATCTCAGTCTCTTTGAGATTGCCGACATGCTGCTCCCTGCTTCTTTGAAAAAGGATGGCAAATTCCCTGCGCAAGCATTGTTCGCCGTTCACACGACCCTGTTCAGCGATGAGATCATCTTCCGCCCCCTGAGCCCTTCGAGCGATTGTCATCGGCGGGACCATCTGTTTGAGGTCTTCCCGACGACCATGGCCGACGTGCTCGCCACCGTGTCTACCATTGTTCGTCACTACTGGGTGGTCACGGACAAGTTTCCGCTCGAGTCTCAGGAAGGCGTACTGAGCAAGTGCGGCGCGCTCAATCACTTCATCAACAGATGCCGGCGCCTGATCCTCAAATACAGAGAGCGACGGGCTTCGGTCAACGGGTACATTGCCCCGAGTGCAAAGGAGTCCATCGTCGGTGACCTGGAATGGACAAGCGATAGAGGTCATCAGCAAATCATTCAATTCTTGCAATGGTGGGCGAGTTATGATCTATTCGAGCCCGGCTCAAGGTATTCCACCTACGGGTCGACCATCTTGAGGGCCACTGGCCTCTACCCGGACAGGTACCTCGATCAGTCGACAGCATGGACATTTCTGCAGGAACTCGGCATCATCCCGTTATGGGAGGTGCCTTCGCGCTATCGCGTACGCTTTCCTGGCACGGACATTGTGGTTGGTGGAGGTATATCCCGCAACGAGGAGCCCAGAGTCAAGGAGTCTCTGCGCGAGGACATTGCGGCCGAGTACCGTCACGGGCGAGATCAGCAGCGCGTGTTCTGCATCGACAGCCCTGAAGCAATTCTGATCGATGACGGCGTGTCTCTGAAGCCGACCGGCAAGAGCGACGAATTTTGGATCAGCATCCATGCCGCCGACCCGGCGTCTGCCATACGGCCAGACTCGCCGCTTTCCAAGTACATGGAGCTCATCCCCGAAAACATCTACCTTCATGGTCACTTCCAAGCTATGCTCTCTGGGCAAGACGGTGGTGGGCCGGACAAGGCAGTCCAAGACCTGGTTCAAAAGTACTCCTTGTCAAAGGGCAGTCCAGCCCTGACCTTCAGTGCCAAGGTGAACATGGCTGGTGACATTTTAGCGCACAAGGTCGAGCCGACTGTCTTGTCAAATGTCACATATCTAGATCCGGTGGATGTCGCTGCGTTCTGCCTGGAGCCTCGTCCTCCGCCCATGCAGAAGCAAGAGCTGGTCGTTGGCAGCAAGCCTGCCACAGACAAACTCCCGTCGGGTGCACTCGCCTCCAGCCGAAAGATGTCCAAGGCGGCCGATCTCGAGCAGCCCGACAAGGAAAGCTTGTTGACGCTATATCGCCTTGCGGAGGCTCTGAAACGGAAGAGGGTCGAGAAGGGGGCAACGCCTTATTTCCCGCCGGGTACCTCTGTCGACGTTGTCTTCCCTCCGGTCAAGAACAAATCCAAGCTACCCTCGGGTCTAATCCAACGGCCTGGCGACCCTTATATCCGGGCACATACCGCAGACGATCACAACTGCTCCGTCGTCGGCAATCTCATGGTCCTGGCGGGCGAGGTCGCCGCACGGTGGGCCCACGAGCGCAAGCTTCCCGTGCCATACCGCAGGGACGTCAGCTCGGCACGGTACGACGAGGTTCGCAAGTTCGTCAGCGAGCAGGTGTACCCGGACGTGGAGAAGGGCATGGCGCCCGACTTTGACAAAATCGCCAGAGTCCTCGTCATGACGGGCGGCGTGCAGCTGTCCACCGACCCGGGGCCGCACTTCATGATGGGCATCGACATGTACACAAAGACCACCTCGCCCCTCCGGCGCTTCTCCGACCTGATAGCGCACTGGCAGATTCACGCGGCGCTGGCAGAGGAGCACAGG